TGACCATTAAGTAAATAGCCACAATATGAGACAGGTATAATTATTATCTCTTTTTTTACGGCTGAGGCTCAGAGTGATAAGTGACTTGCCTGAGGTCATATAGTTAGTAAGTGACAGAGCTGGGATGTGGCCTCAGGCAGTGTGACTCCAGAGTCTGCACTCTAAATCACCTCTCCTTCTGCCTCTTTATATCTTCGGATTCAAGAAGAATAAAGATATACCTGGGCCCACTTCACTCGTGGTGGAAGGCTGATGTTCACCTGTTCTCATCCTGTTGGCCCAACCTGAACTTGCGGCCCTTGTTCCAGACCTTTTTTTGCCTCCCCACTTCTGGTGGGTTTGATGATCCAAATAGCCCCTTGGATGTGATCCTGCCCTCGCCTCCCAGTCCCTCTACCCTACGTACTTCAGGAGCCTCCCTCTGTGATTCAGCACCAGCTGGGGAGACTGGGGCTTCCCCTGAACCTGACCAATCACCGTGAGAGTGACATCAGACCGGGAATTCAAGCCAATGTGATCTAGGAGCTGGGAGACATTTATGTGGTGGGGAAGAGTAGGGTTTGGTCTTGGAAAGTCTTGGGTAAATTCTAACCATAAGACTACCTTGATTCTTGGTTTTAAGGTTCAGAGACCCAACTCAAACCAGCTGAAAACAAACATAGCTCATTATGGGCTCATGGAACTGAGAAGGGTGGAGGTGGATGTGACATCGGGGACATCTGGATCTCCTTCGTGGCTGAAATTACTCTGTCCTTGATGTCCACTCTTTCCTCCTTCAAGGTACAGAGCCCTTCCTCCGTTGGCTCTTGGCCACCTAGACAGAACCGACATTCCCAGTTTTCCTACCAGCTATGTGTCACCATGACCAGGTTTTGGCCAATGGCATATAAATACAAGCGACAATTTCTGTTTCATGACCTGAAAACTGAAGGTGCTTGCCTTTCATGCTTCCCAAGGGCTGGAACAAAGTGGGTTTGTGGGGCCCTTTGTCTCTGTGGATGAGGATAATTGAAGCAGCCCAGCTCTGACCTAGAGATGGAAACCACCTGCTGGGGACAGTAGAGCCGCTGGCCATCCTGGGTCCCTGGATGGCTGTGTGAAGCACAGCCTGACAGCCCACCCTGAACTGTTGCCTGAGATAGAAATAAACTTCTCTCTTGTTTGAAACTCTGCATTTTGAGGTTTCTTACCTACTATACAATACTCTAACAGTGTTAATACTCTAAAATAGTTGCTTTTCTCTCTGAGTTTTTAATTTATGCAGTGAGGCTTCCTCCCCATGGCAGGCAAAATAGTTGGAGTCAGCCCCAGGACCACATCTTCTTAATTAAGCCACCAAAAAGGAAAGAATGAGCTTGTTTCTCTCAGCATCTATCTCTCAGGAAGAGGCTCCTTTGGCCCTGTGTGGTCCATGTGCCAGCACTGGGGCCAGGGTGGGGATGATGGTTGGCCAGGCTTGGGGCCTGTGTGAGGGCAGGTCCTGTCACATCAGAACCTCACAGAATGGAGAGAGCAGTTCCCACAGAGAAGAGGCTGCTTATACCAGAAGAAGTGGGTAAGGGACACATAATAGGCAAAATTGGTAGAGTTCCGTGAAAACCACTTAGTATCTGCATGGCCTTGGGCTTGTTATAAAACCTCACAAAACCTCAGTATTCTCATCTGCCAAATGGGGGCACCTACCTCATAGGGTTATAAAGATAGAATAAGAAAATATGTTCCGTGAAAACCACTTAGTATCTGCATGGCCTTGGGCTTGTTATAAAACCTCACAAAACCTCAGTGTTCTCATCTGCCAAATGGGGGCACCTACCTCATAGGGTTATAAAGATAGAATAAGAAAATATGGGTAGAGCACTCAGCACAGTCTAGCCAACAGTAACCACTCGAAATAAACGACAGCTACTGTTTTTATTTTTGAATAAAGCTATCTGGATTCAAGTTTGCTGACTGGTGAGGAGAATTAGGGGATATTAGAGCTGATGTACAGTTATGGAGAATCTATGGCCCCTGGTCTCAGTTTGGAGGAACAGGCAAGCAGATCAAATGAATACCAACGCCACGTGATGAGGCCTGTGAACAGAGAAGGATATGGTGCCATTGGAGTCCCCGGAGGGAACAGGGACTTCTGAGGGGACACTGATGGCATCTGCCAAAGGCCAAGTTCTTCCCAGTCTCTGAGTTTTCAGTGTTTCCTGTATATTGGGAAGTGGGGGAGAGGGGCAATCTTTTCCCTTATCTGAAGAATAAACACATGCTTAGTTTAGATAAACTGGCCAAAAGTCTGGAAGTCCCTGTAAAAAGGTGACATCTAGACCAGAGGTTCCCAGAGTGAGGTGTCCAGGCAGCAGCATCAGCTCATCTGGGAACTTGTTAGTGACACCCGTTCTCAGGTCTCCACCCCAGACCTACTGAACCAGACACTTTCACCAGCCCTGCAGTTGATCCGGTGCCCGCTCGAGTTTGAGAACCACTGGTCTAGACAAGTGTCACATAGGAACAGTAAGGGACTTTTGAAACCTTACCTGGGAAGGGACACGTAAAAGCTGACCTCAGAGAAACAGCAGCGTCCCAGTTACCAGTCACGGGCAGCCCAGGAGGGGGACTGACTTACTTCAGGTCCCTCGAGGGCCAGCCAGGCACTGAAGGTCTTCTCAGTCCCACCCCGATGCTCTTTTCCGCAGTTTTTCATGACTCTAGTTGTGAAGACCCTGGAGAAGGGTGGGCCGATGACAAAGATTNGAATAAACACATGCTTAGTTTAGATAAACTGGCCAAAAGTCTGGAAGTCCCTGTAAAAAGGTGACATCTAGACCAGAGGTTCCCAGAGTGAGGTGTCCAGCCAGCAGCATCAGCTCATCTGGGAACTTGTTAGTGACACCCGTTCTCAGGTCTCCACCCCAGACCTACTGAACCAGACACTTTCACCAGCCCTGCAGGTGATCCGGTGCCCGCTCGAGTTTGAGAACCACTGGTCTAGACAAGTGTCACATAGGAACAGTAAGGGACTTTTGAAACCTTACCTGGGCAGGGACATGTAAAAGCTGGCCTCAGAGAAACAGCAGCGTCCCAGTTACCAGTCACGGGCAGCCTAGGAGGGGGACTGACTTACTTCAGGTCCCTCGAGGGCCAGCCAGGCACTGAAGGTCTTCTCAGTCCCACCCCGATGCTCTTTCCTGCAGTTTTTCATGACTCTAGTTGTGAAGACCCTGGAGAAGGGTGGGCCGATGACAAAGATTCCTGTGTCCACATTTATACCTGTTTTTAAAGTCTAGCTGGCGAGGTCAGACCTCCCCAAGACGGAAAATGAGAGACTGGCCATCGCGGATTTGAAATGGGGGTGGCTGAGTCGGAGCCCTCACGCCGAGCCTGGGGAGCCAGACAGCAATGAAGAACCAAGGGGAAAGGTTATAAAAATGTTTAGTCTTTGCTTTATTGAGTTACAACAAATGAGCAACCAGTTAGAAAAGGTGGTTTTTTCCAAACTTCCTAGCCTCATATTTGTGCAGTGTATTCAAACGCAGGGCACGGAGGGGAGGGGACACGGGATGCAAACAAAACCTATTGCGACATTTACACCAGATATGTCTCTGGGTTTTCCTTCTTTAAAAGTTAGGACTAACTGAATAAAAGTGCACTCAGGTATCTAGGATTGGCCCAAAACAAACACGCAAACAAACGAACAACAACAAAAAAATCAATTCATGATGAGGCTGCAAGTTGAGATCTTGTCAGATGCCACACCAAGAAAAGGCAGTTAAGAAGAAAAATGGAAACCAAAGTTGTTCATCTTTGTACCCTCTAGACAGGAAGATCTTTTTTTTTTGTCATTTTCATTTCACAAAAGTAATGATAATACTAACAAATGTGGGAGCCCTTCCTGCTGGTATTGAAGTCAGGTGCTTAAAGCAGTCAGCCACCTGCCACCCAGTTCTCCCAGTGCTGGCTGGGCCCCATCTGGCCTAAGTGGCCAAGCAGTTGAGAAGGCAGACCTTTCTCTTGGCAGTTCAGGAAGCCTTGTGTGTGGCTAAGGCAGGGACCCCCAAAGGCAGCTGGGGGAAAAACTGGAAACGAATTTGACTTGGAAGATCTGCTGTCTGTAAATCCTCTCTGGGTTGAGACAGTGGCCCGAATCTCAGCCCTTCCTGTTGAGAAATCTCCCAAATTTCAAACTACTTTTAAAAATAAATCCTCCCTACCTAAAGTCCAGTAGATATAATGCACTAATACTAACACCCCCTCCCCCAAATTCATAAAATAAAAAAAAAAAAAAAAAGAAAAGAAAAGAGGAAAGCACTGTGGTTAGCCCTCCCTCCTGGGAAAAAAACCTTACAAGGGTAGTGCTGGAAAAGGAAGTTGCCCTTGATTAAAAATGTAACAAAATACCCACATGGTA